ATTCAAGTTAATATCATTAGTTCCACATGAACAAAGGTACATGTAGATCCCATTGGAGTGTTCTCCACCGCAAGTGACCACATAAGCCAGGCTACAAAGAACCACGCGTCTACACTACAATCAAGTAGCTACCAGCGTATAATTATGAGAGTTGTTCCTCCAAAAAGAAGTTAAAATGGACGATTATAGAATATAAAACTAGATGTGCTCTGCTTCTGAAGATTGATTACCGCTGGACAGGATAACAATCAAGGTCTATGTCGACACTGATGGTCTCAGGAGTACTATACAGTTTTGACTTTCTGGCTTTGTGACTTGACTGGATTGTGCTGTTCTTGTTGTACAGCAGTAAAGTGTACTTTATGGCTTGTATAAATCTATTAACAAGTTTACCAATGATCCAGCCATATGATATATTTCTAGGTATCGTTGATGTTATAGCGAGAAGTAATTTATTAACTTAAAGCTAATAATTAATAGAGACGTTGTTTGAGATGACAAAAACACCCATGAAACTTATCAAAAAGGAAAGTATAATTAATGATAAACAGTGTTGCTAACATACTATTCTTTGTACTATGGGGAATCTTTATGGTTTGATCCTTTAGATAGCGAAGCATTGATTACAGGGGCAAAAGCAACTACTGACTACTTATAAATTAAAGAACTTGATAGGGTGGTAATTTTGTAGTGTCATTGAGGACAAGAAAGAGAGGGGAGAAGGGAGGGAAACAGATGCAGAGAGATACAGTGGGGTGGGTAACTCATTGAGAAAAGAGCTTTTTACAGAAGAGGAGCACCATAATCTATAGTAATATTACCCAAGAGCACACCCCCTCAGAGCTCTCATTGAACAAATATTGTAATTCTAAATACGGTGATAAATCTCAAGCATATGAAGGAGTGTTTGAGGCGTATATTATAAATACTTGGTAGCAGATCAAGATTGCTGAGTATATATTTCAGCAAAAAAAATTGTTGTAGTCTATTTACTAAATGTACTATATACCTGAATAGTAATACCTATGCTTCCTTTTAGTTCTAGGAAGCAAATATCTTTCTAAAATATAGTACCTGTAAGTGAATAAGCAGTGTGAGTGACTATTATTTCAACCATCGCTTACATTCCCACAATTCAGAGATAACCCCATTTCTACAACAAAAAGTGGCAATGCGAGTTGATATGACAGGCCACAGACAAAGGGAGGAAGACAGGATATACAGGCTCTTACGCGGGCTCAAAGGGATATATCAGGACGCACAGATAGAAGAAAGCAGACATAGTGGCTAAAGGATCAATAGAGTAGTGGGAAATATAGGACAATTGGCAAAGACTATTTTGTTTCTCTTTTAGTTTGAGTAGCTTATCCTGTACATATAATCTGTGACCCAGGAAGAGCCTTAAGGGAGGCTGCATTCAGTTGTAATGCAATAATCAATCAGTCAATAAATGAATGGAGTTGGTGAATAAATAGTGTAAGTGAATGAAAGGCCAGCCATCCCAAGCTGGGTACCCAGATACACTTACCACTCTGCTTATATATTCTGCTTGCGCAGGCAATCCCATCAAGATATCGAATCTACCTAGGACCAAGAAGTGATTATGCAACTGCCACGCCTGTTAGCTCTTGATAAAAGTCTGCAGAATGTCACAAAGTATGCAAATAGAGAGCAGAACTGCTCTGAAGGAATTACTGGCCGATTTTTTTGGCGAATTTTGTGCCTATTTCTCCATTTTACGCCGATTCACACCTTTCTTTATAGAAGAATTTGATATTGGTATAGATTTGAGCTCCCTACCCGACGATGAACAGAACGAAACCATTAACGAAGAGCGCCTTCGACACTCAATAATGCGCAGGCCGCTAGATGATTTTGGGATATGCACTAGGAGGTTGATCTAGAAGCAGAAGCCATTGACGACATTGTGGATTATAGCTTCCTGGTGAAAGCCTTCTACTGGCACTTGAATAGGCAGCCGAGAGAGCCATCGAACTTAAGAAGGGCAGAAGATGACGAAACACGTGAGCAAAGGGATCGGAAGCGCAGTCGAAGTTTCAATGAGAACCTTCGTTCAACTTCAGAAGAGCTACGAGAGGCAATACGACAAAGAATCGAGGAAGAGGCTGTCAAAAGAATCAAAGCAGAAGGCGTGATAAAGCAGGGGCCTTCTTGACGGAGTGGGGGGTCACTCAGCATAAATCAAGATTCTCCTTCACGTCAACAACCTCCTCTGAGATCCGAAAATATACCGAGTAAGACAGGATCAATTCCTGTAGAACAAGTGGGGGCCCCGATTATTCTTGAAGGCCTTGGGCCTGTTAACCACGCGAGGATCCTAGATACTATAATAGGCAAGGCTTCAGATAAATATGAATCCCGCTATAGCAGCTTGTTAAGATCCGATACAGGATATAACCTCAAGGCCATCCTAGAAGATAATCTTAACCCACAAGTTAGAGCAATCTGCGAGGCTGGAACATTTGACTTAAGAAAGTAAGTTGCTCTATAACCTCCTGGTTAAAATATACATACGCTGAAGGGGATTATCCATAGAGTACTCCAAATTGGCATTATGGAAAGTACTCCAGGTGACGCCGGTGTGTACATACACATCCTATACAGAAGGAGCAATCTGGTCCACTTCTGGTTATATATAGAACAAACATTGGTGCTAATTATTAGAATATCAATTCGCAACAATAAACAGTATGGACGAATAAATCGTAGCTTGTACTATCATACCTAGGAATCGGCTGACGATAGAATCGGTATTTGTTACACTTACAAAACACCATGTCGTACAGGATACTTCCTCTGAAGATCGGCTTATCCTCAACTTTCAAGAAATATGGATAGCCTGCGTCTTTCAAACAATAACATAAAAGTACTTGGTAGAGTATCTTCCTGACAATATAAACAAAGCATGGGCCGGTCAATATCTGAATGTTGTGCCCCCGATATGGCAAGGTTTTACAAACAACATATCTACTTTGGATTACGATATTGGAGAAAGATGAGCTTTTACAACATTTATTGACATGCCCGATCCAGCCATAAGGGCCTGGGCATGGGGATCTATTACAGTATTAAAGTTGGGAATCAAGTCAAGCTAAAGTTCCAACTTACTGAGGCCCTGAATTCTGAGATGTATGCAACCAAAGCATCAATTTATAACCCGGCTAGTCGATTGGCTGTTTCGATTAAAGGCCGAGGAGCCGATAGTGACTACTTTATCTGGCTCAAGAATTCCGGCGAGAAAACCGTAAAGAATATAAACAGCTTAGTCGATACTTTAGAGGGGGTGTCTCTGAGAGAAAGCAAAGAAATACCCAGACAATGGTACAGAACAAGACAACATAGGACATCGGAAAGGGATATTGTGTATAAAACTGAAGATAAGCCATAGCATCTACAATACACATATTCATATTTGTTTTTCAAGGAATAAGAGGGAGGAACTATAATGAACCCCAAAGAAGGACAAAGTGTAGGGGTACAGTATTTGATTTAGTAATCTCGCTGTTGAAATTAAATTGAATGTCCCATGTTGTATACATTTGCTTCAATTTAATAATACCATAAAACTGCAAGGGCAATGCCTCTAAACCCCCGATAATCTAGTTGCATATGGCATCCGGCCGTAATAAAATTTACTTTGTAATTGGAAGGTCGCCAGCTAGAGACATTCTTCAAAGATATAAGTTTTATTGCTTTATACGACTATCTGAATAGGAACCTGCACCGATAACCCTATCCTTCGTACCAAAACACTGGTCCCCGATACCAGGTATACCTAATAATATATTCTCACTTTGGACAGAACTATCTTGAGTTGTTACAGGTAAGATTGTTATAGATATATTGTTTGATTCTTAGCCGGAAAGACAGATATATGCCTTCAGTTTATTAACAATATATTTTCATCGCCCTACCCTAATATCTTACTAATATGTAGCCCTATATTGAAGACAATCTTTCCCTATAGGGCACAATCTCAAAGTAAAAAGCACCTTTCCCGCTCCAGTGGCCCCCCCCCTCCAAAAGGACCTAGCAATACACTACGAAGAAGTACAAGACAATAGTTTATCTCTCATCAAAGTGTTATTCTCCCTCCCAACCCTGTCTTACCCGAGTAAAGAAAACTAGCCGAAGTTGAAAAAGATTGGTTTCCAATCCTTAAGTATACCGCTTATCAAAGCTCTTGATTCAGCATGTTATTATACTGACATCTAAACCTATAGTATAAATCTGAGATGAAGCCCTTGTAGCAGCCCCCAAATATTTGATAGATAAATCTCCGCATTTATATCTTATACCCTAGAGTAGTATCCCATTCTGAGTTAATTGGATTATCTATCACATAATTGATACACTTAAGAAGAAGCTTGACCCAAAAAGATTTATTACAAAGTAGGATATAGCTATTATTACTGCTGTATAATCCTTTATCTATGTTGCTAAGGAGATATTACACTATCTGCTACAATGTACCGGACTCACTGAAGATAAGCAAGATCCAGGTCAACTGTGGCTTGAGAAAAAGGGACTTACTGAGGAAAGATAGACCTTTGGGAAGGGGCGATTGAGCAGATGTGAACAATTGAGGGATTGCGTGACAGCACTAAGGAGGCAGTAAGAAGGGCTTTTCTAGATAATCCAGTGATTTTAATCGTTTGTTTTCATTGTCGTATAGCGTAGTCTTGCCCGATGTTAAGAATTGAGAATTTTGGTAGGTTTTGATGAATGTGAGGTAATATCAGGCTACAAATAAGTCTGATAAATATTATCTAGATGCAGGAACATGCTACAGTTAGTGTTCTTGACAAGATCTACCAAATGAAAAGAAAGGGAGACGTTCATTGGAGAGGAAGAATTCTATATGGTCTTGGGTAACCTTGTGCCAATAAGAATTATACCTTCAAAAAAGGTATATAAGTAAATGTGCAACCTATTGACAGGTTCGGATCAGAGAAAAAAAGAAAAAAAGATATCTTGTTTCCCCCGAGCCGGAATCGAGCCGGCGACCTTTCGGTTATATGTGAATATTCCATTACAGCCGAACGCCATATCCAACTAGACCATCGGGGGTTTAAAGATATTGTTACTGGTTTTATTTAAATTCTTAAATCCACAAAAAAGTTTGACCTGACAAAGCTTCAGGTAGGCAGTATCCTATCACCCTCTAGCGATCTAGAACCACGAAATTCCGAATAAATTACTCTCCTCGATTCCTAGTAGTACAGAAATAATGCACCAAGTCTCTCAATTGAACAAAGCCGACCATCCGTGGTGGTCTAGGCCTGTTATCCGGGTTACACCCCAGTGCATAATAGATCGTTGACTGTATGTCCGTTTGCTGTGATCGGTTGGAGTCATAGTTATTTGGGATGTTGTGCTTGCCATATATATGGAAGGCTACATTAAGAGCAGTCCATTCAGCTATAGGCAGTACTGTGGTGTCTTTCAACGAACGATGCTGTACTTTGATAGCCGGCCATGTCTTGATTTGCTTCTTCTTTTGTTATCTTCACTTACTTTGGGTTTTCATCCATTGATTTCCGATGTACTACTTTTATTGTGACACATGCATACAGGTTGCTTTTGAGCAGCTAAGGAAAGTACAAGTGTAGCACTTTAATCTATCTAGGAGACCATGGCAAAGATGCTATACGCACTGCCGGTTTACTCATGCCAACCGTCCCCTGCACCTAGCATCCAGTTCACAGCAACGAGCTCCAGACCATGCTCTTGCACCCACTCAGCAGCCTTAAACGACCTCCGAGCGGTAAATTCTTCACCCCCGACGTCTTCCTTCGAAAGTGACAGACCATGTGGCTCGCGGAACAGCAGAAACATATACCGGTGTGGTCGTGAACTAACGTACCATTATCTGGTAAGTACATACACAGAATATTAGTATAAATAGGAGGAACCTTACTCATCTTTCGGCCCAGGGCCAAGATACTCTGTTAAAGTCTGAACAGTTTCAGGTGCTCCCGTCGGTTGCAATCCGGAAACGACCCAATGCCGCCAATATGCGAATTTGGGGTCATCTGGGGTCGGTGCATCTGGGTCTACCAAAAGCAAGGTATAGTTCTGTGGAGATTCAAGATCTCTCTTTTGTACATCAACTAGTATTAGCCCCGGGCGGGGAAATCTGCATGAACGCTGTATCGTTACATACCTCGGCCGCAAAAGATATCTTCGGAGCTGATTTGCAATCACTGACCCTGAACAGGTTTCCCAGAGAAACTGGTTTCTCGCCAAATGTCACCTGAAGGTCTGTCGTCGGGGTAAAGTCCTCTGGGATGAGGGGCGCGGAGCTGGGAAACAGCCCTGCTTGGCGCAGGGACGCGATCAAGGTCACCACTTGAGTTTCCGACATTTCGTTATTTTTCTAGGTTACCAATATGAGACAACAAGAGGTATGGAAGCGGGGAGCATAGTTGTATAAATAAGCGCTTTTACTTTATTTCGCAGGTAGTTGAAGTGCAGGCTCGGAATGTCAGTGGTGGAAGAATCCAAGTGACTCCGTCTTGGCCCCTCGAGATCCAGTTGATTGCGCATAGGCCAACTATGACAGAAGCTGATTCCCAGGAGACGGGGAAAAAGAGCAGAAAAGACAGTTCTCACTGACAGAGTCTGACGCCAATGGTGGATACCAGTACATCCTGGGCGCTTGGACGCCACCACTTCTAGATAAACCCCTATCATTTCGTTTATCCCCGCCTACATTGCACGACCAGTCCACCTAGTCATGGACAAAAGTATAGAAGCTTCCCCTGTTTCCTTAGCAGGTATCTTACCAGTTCTTAGAAAAGTAACCTGGAGATGCACATTGGGTGGAATTTATAAACAATAAGGGGTTGGTGATAATAGAGCAGGAGCGGTTGGCGCGCCGGGGGTGGGGGGGATCCTTACCCCAGCATCATATCCTATACGTGGAGCAGCTAGAAAAGGCAGAATTGCAGTGGAAAGCGATTGGAATCAAAGTCCGAAATGAGTAGTAGAGAATGGTATAAAGCGTTTATCATCCGTGTACGTCTGTTGAGGAACAAGCGGGGCTTCGCTAGGCCGATACTCGCTTGAATAGGGCCTTAAATTCAAAAGACTCTTCTTAAATCTGTTATGTTGTAGGCAAGATTCCAGATTATTGAATGATATATTTAAATAACCCAGAACCCTTGTTATTCTTTATTAGTAAATATAACACAAAGTGAAATCTTCGTAACACATATTTTCATACCTGGGTGTTCCTCTTCTGATATTTTTGAAAATCTTCACTATTGATGGTTTTAAGAAATTAGTCCTAGTTACCAAGTATTGGTACTTGAAAACACAATAGAATCTTCCCCTCACACCTATATCGTCCAGGACCTTGCAAGATTCATTTGCTTGGAAAGAGATAATGCCTGTCTTGAATATTGTAGTTCGATTGCAAAGCCCCATCAGCAGTAACTATCTTCTGTCTATACTTCAATTAACCGCTAGTGAATCATAGCAACTGATGAGCAGCCACTTATGAAAATCTCAAAAAGTATCGGAGAATAAGAATCACTCATCAATGCTTCTTTTTCTTGGGAGAAAATGACTTCTTCCTTAACCCACCCCAGCTTTCTGCTCTCAGGTGTAGTCCCTTTTCCCCAACCAGATTTGAAAACCTTTTATCCTTCTCTAACTGCTTCAAGTCGATGCCCAATGCCTGTGGCATTATAGGAGCAAGATCGTGAGCAGCACAAATGCGAAAATTGCCACTTTCGACACGTTCTTTGTTGCGTCGATCGAAACGCTTACTCAGTTCCTCTTCGACGAAGCATGAGAACTCCTTGCCGTTGATGATAGTCTTCTTGATTGTATCTGCTTCTTTCGGAGCGAAGTACGGTTCGCCGATGAAGCAAGGGTCAATGATCTTCTCGAGCCGTTTATTGGAAGCGGGTTTGTCAAAGCTCTTGAGGGCGGTGATTAAAACGTGTATTCGATACCAGAGGTTAGGAAAGGCTGACGAGTCTTTGAGATCTGCCACGGTGGGGGTTGGGATTTTGGTAGTATTGTCAGGATTCGTGTTGTCCAGTATGAGTGATGATGAAGCCATAATGACAAAGCATAGAAAGAAGAATGAACTGGACTTTTGCGCTTTAAGCTTTCGTCAGATTTCTATGAGATTTTTGAAGAAATAAGTATGGAAGTTTAATAGCAAGTTGTTGGAGGTTATTGGGGACAAGGCAAATTAGCAGGAATAAGTATGACTATGGTTGCCTACTAATCGATTGCTTCATTCACCTGTCATCAAGACGTCGGTGGTCTTCTTACTTGGCAATACGGTACCATAATTATTACCGACAGAACGAGTGTTTATGTTTACAAAATTTGTATTATGAGTCACAGATGCTTTGACTTTGCAAGCTCAAATACTTTGTCATAGTGGTCCTCTTACTACGCCGGTTAGAGCGGAGGAGATGTGCTGGGCAGTGCAACGTTCATTGCTATCTCTCGGGGCGAAAATGCTGAAGCCAAACTTAACAGTGACGGAGAAATCGTCGAATTTGAAAACGGCTCGGCCCGTTCAGACGATTATTTGACTTGGTGGTAGCTCGAAGATGTAGAGATCAATACCAATGAACGGGTATACTTAGGGTTTACGATGGGTGGGTTATGCATATGCATAGCTTATGTAAGGGATGCTACACTAATGCACCGATATCAATATGGATATCAAGATCTATCGTCATCTTTTATCAAATTTCCAGTGCATACCATCCTCCTCCAACATACGCCAATTAACGCCCTACAAATCAAGTCCCCCATTACAACGGCTTCTATCCATCCATCACGAACCCACAGGAACTACAGGAACCTTAACCCACACAACCACCCAAATCAACATCCGAAAACCACCAAAAGCTCAACCACCCACCAACCTAAAAGCGCCGTTATTAAGAAAAGAAAATAAAAATGCCTCCAAAAGCCCCTACCCAATCTGATTTCCCACCACACCTAACCATCTCAATCACATCCCCAAACACCACCACAACAAACACGCGCCCATCGCCCAACATCCTTCTCCTCCTACACGGCATCGGCGACACCAGCGCTACATTCAGCACCTTCGGCCGCGCCCTCAACCTCCCCGAAACAACTATCCTCACGCTCCAAGCACCAACACGCCTCCCTTTCGACCTTCCCGGATTCCACTGGGGCGATGACATCTCCTTCGATTCCCGCACGGGAGCGCTGGACATGGACGCCGGGTTCACGCGCGCAACGCGCACGATAGTCGACGAGGTTGTTCGGGGTGTTCTCGTTCAAAAATGCGGGTATAAGTTACGGGAGATTATGATTCTTGGGTTCGGGCAGGGGGGTATGGTAGGGCTTGTTTGTGCAAGGGAATTGGGGATACAGCCGAAGGTTCAGGATGTGGGTGATTCTGGTGCGAATGACGGGGGTGGGCGAGGGGGAGACATGGCGTTGTCGGGGGTTATTTCTATTGGGGCGCCGTATCCGATTTCGGGGAGTGTGGTGGGTGAGAAGAATCGTACGCCCGTGTTGCTTGTTGCTGGACGAGATTCGGAGGCTGTGGGTGATGGGGCGGTTAGCAGGACGAAGGCGGTCTTCGAATTTGTGGAGGTCACGCGGTATGCTAGGAGGGGAGATGGGATGCCCAAGTCTAGGGAGGAGATGCTGCCTGTTATGAGGTTTTTGGCGCGCAGATTGAGGAGTTGGCAGGGTGTTCCTGAGGGGAGTGTGGAGATTTCTTAGAGTTGTTTTGGGAGTTGGTAAAGCGAATCTTATGCGTGGTGTGTAGTGATGATGGGTGTAGAGTGGGTAAGACGATGCTGTGGCGCTTTGGTGATCTACTGGAATATGGATTGGTAGAAGTAACATGAGGCGATGGTAAGTATGGTACATTGCATGATCTACACGGGTCTATGCGACGAAACTCAGTCCACCTGCTCCAGGGCTTTTCTTGCCCGATCGATTGTCTTCCTGGCCTCAGTTTCGGCGACTTCCTCGTTCCGTGGTCCACCTTCTTGCAAGACGGAGTGCAGGTGCTCCTCCGTCCTAATTAATGCTGTCCGGCCCTCTTCTCGGACTTCGTCTTCAAAGAAAGTGCGGGCAGAGTCCCACTTCTTTTGTTGCCGTCGTAGGGCGTAGATTAATCCAACTGCGACGATTGTGCCGGTTTCGTACACCGACGCTGTCGGAACGGAAACATATGTCAGTGCCGACAGAGCGGATGTCAAGGTAGTGGTCGACATGCTGAAGAGGACTAGCCTCTGCGCCATTGCCTGCAGGGAGGGCACAGTCGTCTCCAGTAGGCGGTTGCGACTTGTGGTTATTTGAGTCGGCCAGAGCTCATCGGATTCTGGTTTATCATTCGTGGAGTCGTTAGGAGGCTGTTGCACTGGTTGAGGGGCGTCCTTTAGCTGCATCCCGAGACCGGTCTGGTGGAATCTTCCCGCAGTCCAGATCACCTCTTTCTCTGCACGTGGCAGATACTTCTTTTCCAGAATCTCCGATGTGATCATGCCTACATCGTCCACATGCCAGAACAGTTTCCACCAGGCAAGGCCCTTCCATTTCTTTGTCGCGAACCCTTCCTCGAGTGAGCTGCGCAGTTCTGTATGTCCCCTCTCCGCCCACTCGGTCACCGAACGGTCTAAGTTCTCCCGGACCTCGTCTGAAACTGGGACTGCTTTTTGATCCTGTGATAACCTGCTCTCATCGGCAACAACTCCAGCCTCTGCGGCGTCAATCAGAGATGTGATTAGAGATTTGAGTGAGGGGTCGAGAGCCCCCTCCGCCGCCCGCAATGATGATAACCAATCTTGAACAGCCGGCACACCGCTTCCATTCCAACCACGTTCATAAAGAGAGGCGTTTTGCACGGATTCACGGAACTTCTCGAGGGCTTCGTTCGCTCGATCGATGTCTACGAATGCGATTCGGTCATTACTTTTCTGTGGGGCGGTAACTGCCAGATCGATAGCCCCATAAACTGAGCTTGCCTCTTTCTTCAGGTCTGCCCGAGAGACCAAGCCATTGTACGCAACCAATCCGTCCACTCCGCGGCCGCACACAACAGTTCTGTGGACTGGGTATCGTACGGCATTATGTCGGCCGGAATGTGATGTCGGGATCGTCACTGTAGGGACGAGGAATGTATCTGCTGTAAAATGCGCACCCGATGACTCTGTCTCAGCACCCAATGTAGACACTAGGATTTCAAGGTTGCCTTTCTTAAGGATGGGGGAGGGCACAGAGATAGTAGGGAGAAGGCTGTTCGGAATGGACTCTGATACTTCGCCGTAACTATGGAGCGTCAGCAAAAGCTAACATCCTGATCCCCATTGGTACAATCTAAACATACCGAATCAGCAAGCCTTGTGTAGGATCCGAGTCGTATGCATCCAGTGCGTCTTCCCAGCTCTCGCGTGTATTTAATGGATCGGCGAGTAACAAGCGAACAAGCTTGCGCGCGGCAGTCGCATCATTCAGACCGAGAACTATTGAAACATCAACAAACATATCAGAGAGTACTGTTGTGAGGAAGAAACCCACCAGCAACCCGGATTATGGGCGCTTCACTTTCCAATCCGCGCAAAGCAAGCTGCAATCGGCTGATATTCACCTGCTCCGTAGCTACACCCTGAATCTTATTCAGGGTCTCATATAGCTCTCTCAAGCGCGGTGGCACATGTCGCGCGTGGATCACAGACGATGTAGTGATGGGACGAGAGGAGAAAAAAGAGAGACGGTTAGCTTCTAGCCGGGGAGAAACGATGCCGTTCCGACGCGTGGACAGGCCCCGTCTCCGTGTTGCGCAGGACGGGCAGTAATAAGCTGCAGCTTTATCCCCAGCACGCGGCAGGCTCTTAGCGAGCGAGCCGCGCAGTTTAGGAGGCATTGGTATGTGGGGAGAGGGTATCTGGCGGAAAGGTGGAGGGTATCAGTGCCATATGGATTTGGAAGGGCGGATAATTGAAGTTGGTGTTGAGTCTTGGCGGCCGCAGAGGCCCGTGACTGCTGATTACAACGAAATAATTCTTGCTACACTCCAATGCTCCATACGGAAGCTTTTTGACTCGAGTAAAAAAAAAAAGAAAAACTGCCTACAAATACCGCACAATCATATATAAGATAGGGGTGTGTCATGGTGTATCGATTCATCAACTCATGGAGCAAGACGTCACGGACGCCTCGATAAATACAACAATAGTCTCTGTCGCAGTTGTAATACTCAATGCAATAAAAGTCTGTTTCTTTGTTACAGACAGGACATAAGATTATGTAGCTGGGCCGTTCGCCAGAGGAAAAGCTCCTCGTTATATCGTCCGACTCAGAGGCGCTTTATACAGGAGTGGATCAATATTTGCACACCGAGAAAGACGGATTGAGCAAGCGCAAAATCAAAGTGGAATGCTTAATGATAGTAATCTTTGCTCATGCTTCTCGACTCTCTCGAGCGGCATCTCGCTGCCGCCGGCTTCTGCCCGTGCCCGCAGACCTATGACAGGTTAGAGTACGCTCTTTCGAATTGTCTTTTTCACCAATACAACTTACATGCTAATTCGTCGAGCCACGGTAGCCAATCCGGCGTCGTTGTCTGCCTCACGTTGAGCACGCTCCAGGGCAGCTTGTCTTTCCTCCTCACTCCGCTTATAAACTTCTTCACTACTCGGGGGCAGACGCTCGTTTTGCAAGTCAACCTTACGGGCATCTTCGAAGTTCGTGATGGCCTGCTTAATTCCCTCTGCACCCAACATCAAAGTACCTGCGGGAAGGCGACCACCGGTTGCTGTCTTAAGTTCCGTGACCCTTTCGGACTCCTCACGCAGCACCTGGAAGACTCGTGAAAGACGACCGATGGCAAGGATCTTGTTCTTAATTGCACGTCGCTTGAATTCACTGGATTCGACGTCCATCGGGACAGGGGGCGAGGGCGGGCCTGTAGGTGAAACGGTCGTAGGGGTATCATCTTCCAATTCCTCCTTAGAGCAGGTGTTAAGGATAGCAATCAGCATATCGGTAATCTTCTCACCGACGAAGGGAAGAGACCAGGTGAACACATCCATGAAATTTGGCAGCCAGTATGGGTGAGGTGTGCAGTTGAATTGACGGATATTCATCACGTTGTTCTCGTACTTCAGGACAGCAGCTTTGTTGTTGTACACATCCAAATAGTTAGGCGCACTGAAGATCGTCATCACGCTGGGGAATCCGGTGGTTCTTGTTTTCCGATACATGCGGTATCCGGCGTCCTGAGCCTCGTGGGCACGGATAATCGACAGGAGGTTGTTCTTTTCCAGGAAAGCGCAGGCGGCAGGGTACGAGAAGAAGTAGGAGCATCCTCGAACACTGTTGTGGACGAAATAGTCCCCAGTCTTCTCCTGACCAAATTCCTCCAGAGGATCAGCCCAAAGAATGTCGCACATCAAGCCATGAGTCGGAGGCTCCCTGAAACGATCAATCTGCGACCTGTATCAACACCTGGCATTTACTACTGATTGTGACGGAATATGCTTGACTTACCGACTTGATATCCTCCAATGTGTGTAACTCAGGACTTAAGCCACCGTGGATACACAGGAACTGCTTGTTCATGACCGCCGCCAGCGGCAAGGAGCAAAAGGATTCAATGCAGGCCTCATAGATGCGCTCGCTGTATTTGTGCTTACACTCCAGTTTGAAGGTGAAGTAATCCGTCAAATGCCTGCACTCGTGGTTACCTCGCAGCAGCCAGAGCGTATTCGGGTACCAGATCTTCAGGGCCCAGAGGTAGAGAACACACTGTACAAGGTCAGACCATTTGTGCCACACAACCCAGGGACGGCACAAAAAGCCAATAAACTCACTTCAATGCTAAAATAACCTCTGTCAACATAGTCGCCTAAGAATAGATATCTCGTCTCAGAGGGGTCGCCGCCGACTTCGAAAAGCTTCATCAAATCGTAATATTGTCCGTGAACGTCGCCACACACTGTGATAGGGGCATCCATCTCGAGCAAATTCGGCTCTGCCTTCAGCAACTGCGTACCCGCATGTATAATCCATAGCGCCTGGTCTTCGGTGAGACGACCCTCACGATAAAAGTGCTGTTTCAGAAACTGGAGGTTTGGCTTGGAAGGGTCCTCAGGGGACCAGAACTGTTCGTCCGTCGGCGTCTGTAATGCTGGCGCTTGTACCTCTGCAGGATCGCCAAATGGTCAGAATGAAAAGTATGGGAGAAAATTAAGGGATGGTGCGTGACTTACCTTTTACAACCCGTTCCATGGTGGACACCTGGGTGCCATCTTCCATGGTATGTAAGGTGAAGTCAATCTCCGGGACTGGCTTCTTATCCGTCACCGCTCGCGCTATTGTGCGGTCCATCTTGAATCAAGTTGACTTGGAAGGCTTACGACTAGGATCTTGAAAATCGCAAGAATCCAAAGCCCCGGTAGATAGAGAGAGAGAGCGAAGAAAAGGGGGGTGGGAGGGGGGAGACTTGACAGCGCGGAGAACCCGATGTTTGGTGGGGTTAGAGCGCGGCGGGATCTCTCACGCGAGGCGAACGCCCGAGTTGAGGCTGAGATATGGTTGACCCTAAGGTTGGGAGTGTGGGCACGTTTTAAAGGGGAAGAAAAAAAGTTTGCAAATCAGAAGAGTTTCTCCAATTCAACAGGGAAAAAATAAATAAATAAATAAAGCCAATGGAAGGCCACTAGCTGGGTACGAAGTAAAGGGGTGTGTTTTTCTTAACGGATAAAAAAAGAGTAGACGTGGGTCGTGTGTTAGGATAATTAAGAACAAGAAACAAGCAAGCAGTCGAGGCCAATCCAAGGACTCTGAGACGCTGAGTAGGGGCTGAAGGGTAGTGAAGAGGTACAGTCAGTACGGAGCAGTGGTAACCGATTGTATTACTCTCGACTAGTAGAGATGCTCTTTCAAATTCAAACTCCACCAATGTTACGTACATGCTAAACTTAATGTAGATAGCGTAGAAGTTGACATTCAGTTCTAGGTCATATTATGCTAAATATCAAGCCCTTCAAAATACTAGCGCATACCATATAAGGGTCTAGATCTAGGAATCTGGAGGATGAGAAGTTTTAATATAAACTTAGTAGATAAGGTAACAGTTAGTTTGGTAATCTATCAGTAATTCTTTATATCTCACAACTATAGTGTTACTCCTCCCTTATTCTACAGTTTACGGCGTACTTGTCAATGGTTCAGGTGACATATTGGATTCACTTCAGTATATCACAGCCACCCTTACCAATAAGAATCTATTTCTACAGAAGTGAGATTGTGACAGTAGCAGAGTAACACAGTTGGGTAGAGTTGAATCATCAAATCCCCTTGACCTGGATAATAGTAGTAGTAGTAGTAGATCTATCTCATTCCTCACGGCACACCAGCTAGCCATTAACATAATCAATCCGTTCATCGAGATAAATACCTTGTCTTTCTCTGTAATCGCCGTCTCTCTTGGAAAGAGCGTCTTCAAGTCAATATCCCTCATCCCTACGAACCAGCGCAATATTTCTTGCCGAATTCGCGGAGTTCACGCCTTTCCAAGTGAACCAGCCTAACAAATATTTGTTCGTTCGGTAGTAGGAAAATCCGTCAACTATAGTATAGAAAGTTCAGCAGAGAATATTGTACCATCCGAGTTTCCAATGTGTCTGTAGAGGTCCAGCTTGGCTTGATCATCACTCGCGGTGTGCTTTGCGTTGCAGACCAGGGTGAATCCCTCAAGCCAAGTACAGGTAGAAAATTCCATGTTTCCAAAACAGATGCAGAAATAATGTACTGTATTATTGGTTTGCGTTCTTGGGGAAGGACAAAGTATTCCTTGAAACAAGAAGCAGATTTGATCTGTAAATATAACACGAGAAGAGCTCAATCACGCATGGCTATGTTGCTTTCTTTATACCCCGCTCGCTAGAATTGAGTTTTCTCATCATCTAGCCAGCTTGAAATCGCCATTTGGCTAGATTTTGAAGATGGTGACTCGATTGGCATCGATGAATCTTCATATATGCGCAGCCACGTCGGTCGTCCGCGATCAGGAGGGGTCTATTGCATATAGGATTATTTTCAGCCAGCCACCCCTCCTTGTGTGATTCCACTTCCGTATCATTGTTCAAGGCTGCTAAATATTGGAGTTTGGAGCCATTTTGCGATGGAGCTGTTGGTGCTTGAGTTCGGGGCGTCGTCGTGGATATAGTTTTGGAATCGTAACAATACATGACCATACAAGCTGGGCTCCAGCAGGCTCCATCCATTACTCAGGTGTTTACCCGTTTGGTATTAATATTGATGTTTACCAACCTCGAAAACAGAGCTTCGAATACGAATATCAGCACAAGATATGGAAGGCAACCAGGCAAAATGCAAAAGTAAACTAACACGATTAGAAAATGAGAGTGGGGATCAAAATCAATCAAATCAACATTGAAGTTAATCTAAAATTTGGAGATCCACGGATCACACTAATTATGAGAGGTAATTAAGCAATATTGGACTACGTATCTGTCGTATTAAAAGGTACCGATGGCGTCACGGGGCTTCCCCCTCAATGAATCCAGAGTATAACCTCTCAATATCTTGAACAACTACTTCGTACAACAACCCCATTTTCACTCTCAGAGCATCATCTGACTTAGCTATCTTCCTTCGACTAACTTCTCCCGAGTGAACGTTCTCTCAATTACTAATAATGTATGAATCATACCGTAAGTCCCTTCTTCTCCCCTTATCGCAGCTTTGATACTAATCTATTTGTCCATTTGTCTAGGCCCGCATCCACTCCTGGCACAAGTTCCCTTGACCGTCTCTCCTTTCATCAACCTCCCTTCCTCAGTCACCCTTCCCTACACCTACAAATCGCTTCCCTCCACACTTCCGGCATCGGTCACAGTCGACCCCAACAACCCCGAGGCTAAGCCCCGCTATGTCGTCTCCGCGAGCGGTGAGCACGCCGCATCCCCCGAAGAAATCCTAGCCTCGTGCAAGTCTCTTGAAGAACTGCTCAACAAGAACCGCACGGATGCGGAAAAGGCTATTCAAAATTGGGAGGAGTCCATTGTGCAGCGCGATCTCGCGGAGAAGAGACGGGTTGCGCCCGGGTGGTTGGACCGGGAAGAGAAGCTACTTCAACCGAGTAGATCCATGACAAGCCCTAGACCCTCGGGGCAACCAGAGCACAGTTTGCTGGACAGCTTATCTTCGGATCCGGATGCGTCGAAACTACCATCGATGAAGCCGCGCGACGAGGGTGAGGAGCTGGATAGAGTGTTCGGTGGGCTAAACGTAAAATGAGTGGTCTCGATCGCTTGAGCGTCAGGCACGATCATCCCACTTGATGTGGCAGCGCCATTTAGCTTCCTCTACCATGGTGTGAACGGTCGGGGAACATCACCGATTGGACCACTCCCATCGAGCTCTCGGTAGACTTTGCAGGTTCAGCTGCACCTCGTATGCAGATTGAGCTTTAGCATGTCACAATCCTGCGGCTTCAGCACAGACGAAGTTCGCTACACCACACTATCGCGTAGAGTCGGCCCATATACAGGAATGATACTATGGGGTTAGATCAACGATTTTTATGTGGGGAAATATTCTGTTCAAATTGGGTCCAGTTTTTGATCTTGCCTGAAGAGATATCCAATACCCAACATGTGCGGTTCCCGTATGTTTATGCTCGATGAACAAAAATGTATTACACTAATTATACTTAATACGTTATAACATATACTCTCCCTATGCTATAAGCTGAGCCATTGCGCCGTCTTCCAATTTATAAAAATACTGTGTTCGAGTAAAGGCGAACTTCCCCCCACCGACCCTGCAACGGCAGCCCCTCCGCCTTCTCCCATATCAAAGCTTAATCTCCGCCAAAGCTCCCCGGCAGAAATATTAAACCACCACCGACTACACCTCCCTCCACCAAACAACCCCCAACACGCTCCAAACGCGGCCAGAAGAAAAAAGATGGAGCCCCTCCAAACACCACCAGAGACATCCTCCTTCGTCCTCCTCGCCGACCACCAGTCGCGCACGCCATCCTCCTTCCACTCCGGCCCCGCAGTCCTCCACTACCACAGCAAGCACTGCAAGCTATCCATCCTAGAACACGAGCTCCAAGCCAACCCAATCCTAAACTCCCTCCGCAGCGCAGACGCGACAAGTACCGCAAACGGAACAGAGAACCAAAACAGCGACGACGCCGAAGGCAAGGAAATCGTCATCGATGGCGTAGAGGTCTGGGTGACTTCCGAGTAAGTAAATACAAACCTCTCTCTATACGCCTGAAACTACAAACTACCTCCGATCAATGAGAACTAATTGGATATGGGGTTAAAAATAGTAAATTCCTCCTCTACAACCCAACCTACCAAAAGGGCCTCTCAATCCCCTACCCCAGCATCTCCCTGCATGCGATCCAGCGTCTCACGCTCCCAGACACCCAGTCCGAAGTGCAAGGTCTGTATATGCAGATCGCGGTCCCTGAACAACCCGGTGCCGTCCAGGAAGATGACTTTGAAGAATGTATCACGTTGACTGTTGTCCCACCGCCTGAGTCCCAGCAGCAACAACAGCAATCATCCGAGGAGAATAAACCAGATGAGACGCCCACGCAGGCGCTGTATAACGCCGTCTCGGCGTGTTCGAACCTGCACCCGGATCCCATGAGTGACGATGAAAATGAGGAGGGTGGTGCTGGTGGTTCGGGGTTGTTGTCGTCTGGGCTTGTGGAGATGGGGAGTGGGGATGGGGGATTGCCGCCGCCGGTGGATGGGAGCTCGGGGTGGATTACGGCGGATAATATGCATGAGTTTTTTGATGAGGAAGGCAATTGGATTGGGGGTGGGGAGGAGCCGACTTTGTCTCTCGGTCCTGGGGCGGGGACTGTGAGGGCTCGTGAGGGGGAGGATGGGGATGGGGATGAGGAAATGCAGGAGGATGAGGAGACGAAGTGGAGGAGGACGGATTAGGTGAGGTTTTGAAGGTTATGGATAGACGTGGTGTAATAATCAATGGTGGTTTAGTTGAGATTTGGGATTGGGAATCAACGCTCTTTGGATTGTGGGTGGATGGGTGGGTTATGGGGACCGCGTTTACTATTATTGTATCGGCCTTGGGCCAGACAGTCTACTGTGATGTGTGAAAAACGCAACATATAATTACATGCTATATTATTGGTATTTTGGTTCTACTAACTATGCCTATCTAACAGTACAGTGGATATCAATCGTTCGCCTGCGCATCAAAACCTAATGAAACAAAGCACTTATCTCTCGCCAGAACACCCGGAAAGCATAGAATACAACGCGTGGCAGCTACCTGAGCGCACCATACAATTATTCTTTCAAGAAGCCGTCCCCATCATAAAGACTGCCTGGCGTCGCAGCGCCAATGCCCAATCCCACTGCCTTCTTGACGGGTGTCGAGAATTGTGGTCGTGCACTCTTTAGACGTTCTGGCTTCCGAGGCGTCGATTCGCCGTGCAGCTCTGCCGGCCCGGACTCTTCGGAGATAATGGATATTGCAGACTTTTTGGTGGGACGACGACTCGGGGTGCGATCATGATCCTCCCATATCGGGACGATGCGGTTCCCAGCTCTGCTGGAATTGCGGGAAGGGGGACGCTCTGGCGACTGCGTGTAGTTTTGCTGTTCTGTAGGGAGTGAGCGACCCGTAGTCAGCTTCTCCTGTCCATTCGTATGTTGACTGTGATGCCGCGGTGAACCTGTGGCGGTGCTTTTGGCACGCTGCACGGAGTCGGTCGACTTGCGGTTTGATCCATGCCTCAAGCTCTGACTGCGAGGGCGGATTGATGGGCTTGTAGCGTTGGCGCCGTTTTCTAGTAGATGTGATCTACCGCTATTGCGGCGTGGTCTGGTTGGCTGGCTGCGTGGTCCTTTGACGGCGGACCGGCGAGGACTGCCTGGACTCGGAACGTTTTCCCACGTCGTTGGCGAGCCGCTGTACTTAGGAGCGATCCAAGCCGGAAAAGGCTTGTCAGGTGAAGGGGTATCGATCAAGCTGTCTCCTAGACTAGGGGGCAGTGAAGTGATAATTTCAGGAAGGGTTTTGTCCACGCCAATGTTCACCGTACTCAGTACACTATCTATGGAATCATCCCGACTATGCTTCCGCTTCTTAGATGAAGTAAAGTATGTCGAGTTTCGGTACGAGGGTGGACGACTGTCACTAGAGATCTCTGTGATGCGTGATACGTCCCCTTGTTGGTCAGAACCGGTCCGGCTCATCGAGAGGCCAGACACACTTGAGCGCAAAGATGAGATGTTGGAAACCGATAGATCAGACACCTGTGATGCGTGTCTGTCAAACTCATCTAGCTCTTCCGGCTCCTCAACCATGGGAGCAAACGTAGTTCCTCCAAAAGTAATAGGTGGCTGGATCGATATCCGGACACAGTTCTGTCGTCGATGGCCCTTTCGGGGACGGTTGCCGCCTCTCATAGCGGAGGCTAACGGGGGTTTGAGATAACTATTGGAAGGGGCCAGGTGCGACTCTGGGATAGACGAAACACTAGCCCACCCAGGAGTACTTGCGCGACTGAAGCCAGCAGACACGCCCCCATGGAATGGGTCATTTTCCCGCCGCTGGCTTCCATGTACGGAGTGTCGTTGTAGCTGACTAAAATGTGGTAGTAGGGCTGTGTTACAGCCCGCCTTGTTCAAGGAATGGATGCGTTCTAGGTCAGTACACTGAAGAGAGTCTTTTCTGGGCGGGCGTACGTTGAGGGATTCGCTTCTCCGCGGGGGAGGGTTAATTCGTTCCATGGAGTGAAGTGGACTGCGTGCTGTCAAACTTCGGCGGGGAGAAGTACGATCCGGCTCGAGTCTCTGCACCTCCCCTGGAAGTGAGCCCGCTGGGAAGACGAATGGAGCAGGTACTCTCGGGTATAACGCAACACTCCTTCCAACGTCGTTGGCACTGTAAGGGACGAAGGTGGGGCAGGGAGGCAAAGCTGGTGAAGTAAATACACTATCCATGCCAGAAGTCCTTCTGCTCTCATTCATAATAGAGCTATCCGCGGTCTCAAGACTTAGCGAAGAATACCGCAAGGAGTCATTCTTGGAGAGTTGGAACCGGTTCGGCGGGTAAGCACACGGCGGCGGTGGCATTGGTTTGTCTGGAGCAGCACCCGGCGTTTGACCGATAATGCTTGCCGTTCGTGGCCGCGCGCAGGATAGGTCGAACGAGTGGTATTGGTCCTCTAAGACTGAAAAGAGGCCTCTCGAAGGCTCTCTCTGGTATATTGATGGTCCTGGCCCTGAAATTGGTCGTATACTTTGATCAGCATCATGATTCTCGTGTTCCCTGTCTGGCGTATGTCTTGGTGAAATTTCTGTTGGTAATTCAAGAGCTCCATCAACTGCTGAGATCGAAATGTCATCCCTTGGCGAGGAGCCTCTGCGAGAGACAGGTGGCCCATCGATACTCTCGGTCAGTGGTGTCAAAGAGCTTATCCGGTGTGGCCTCAGCAGCTTCGACTGCCGACGGCAGCCTGACAAGGAACGGCACAACGAACGGCCCTTCTCCGTTCGCTGAGATGGGGTATCCGAGTCGTCCTGTGAATGAACTAAACTTTCGTGTGATTCCAGCAGACCCCACTCGGTTGGTCGCCCATATGGAAGTTGCCCGTATTGCCGCAGCATGGAGGCTTCCTCCCGAGACAGGTCTGTCACTGTCTCTGACTGGAAGGCCTGCATACCGAGGAATTGCTTCCTGGAGGTCCGGTGCCGTTTCTGGCGTACCCTCAGCCATGCCAGAGTGCCACTTACTCCCCCCACGATGCAGATAGCCGCACAGACTACTGCGATCGCGACAACAGATGGCAATTCCAACATCGTTGATTCCTCTTATGATGACCGACAGACTTTGTTGGTGACTAACGTAGGAGCCCATTCATACAGAGGAGCTCGATCCTTTGTCTGCTTGATGACTCCAAAGGCAGCGTACCGCTGCCTGGAAGGGTTCGTGGAGAACGTCCGGGCGGCTAGGGAACCTCCTGACAGTGCACACAAACACAATCCACGATAGCAACGCAGGAGGCAAAGGATATAGTCAAATGCATCACAGAAAGGAAGGGTAGGCTTCTGGGAAAGGGGGAAGGCGTTTGTTATGGAAAACTCACTCGAAGCTGTGGAATGTAGTCGCATTACAGTTGATTACGCGAGGAATGCTGCGATACTCGAAGCTCCAGACCCCTCATCCTTGGGTCTATGGAAGCAAAGTAAATTATCCATCCAGGGGCATAGTAATATACAGTAGCGTATCCTAACAATTAAAGAGTTTTCGGTGACATCTGTACGTCACGCCATGGGAATGGGGCGTTTTTATGCTTAGGATGATGGCACCAACGAGTCATCCTTGGGGAAGCGTTTGCCACCCTTCCGCGCGAGAAAGTCGATTATATATTATGCGCAGCATGAGATGAAATGGCTCACAATCAACAATCATATCTCCATTGTGCTGCGAGAAAGACTTGGTGTTCTGAATACAAAGCATAGGCCTTCGCGCGCTCAAGATAGGGCACGACGTCACGCGTGTCTATAGTACACCGGGTCATTGCTTAGTAACCACTGGCATGCCAAACGACCACCGAATATTCCGGGGAGTCCTGAGCGTGCATTTTCAAGAAAACGATCTTGTTCTTGGACGATATGTAAGTTCCGTGCGAAGTCCCTCATTGTGGGGCTGTTGGACTCGTCCTGTCCAAATCGATAACCTGCTAAAGTGCTGTTTGGCCATGATCTATTACCTGCAGACCAATGGCCATGGGGAGATCATATGCAAAGACAGGGCGAGTTACGGAGTACACTTTTCGCATATTCGCATTCGAGTGACGGGACAGACTCCGGGAACAAGGTACCGTAGTGATTAGTTTGATAATGGTGGTCAGGACCCTAGCCACCCGAATAACGTCCTGGAAACCTCTGCGTTATGTTGCTAAAGGCATGGTCTGATGTACATTAGCGTTCAACTGCCAGTTGTCATTCGGTTGTCGGGTAAACTTGGATCTCATCGAGGACAAATCATTGGTTGGGGCCAGATGCAATGTAGGGTGACAATCCGCGTATGGGAGCTGGAATGATCATCGCAAATGAAGCGCGCAAGGAGGGGCATTTGTTTTCCTGTGCGGCCTCAGGCAGTTCAGGGATCACGGGACCGGGATCCAGGGACGAGTGGAAGAGCATGATTAGTGACCCCACTCTAGTCTTCCCCTCCCGTCCTTCTCTCCACTTTTCTCCGGGCACCAAAAACAAAGCCATCCACTTTTTACTATCAAACTTAACCACACCACACAAAGGAGACGGAAACAGCCCCGAAGAAGAAGAAAGGTCGAACAGAAAAAAGAAGAAAAAAAAAAAAAGAAGATATATGTGGAATCCGATCAGTCTCACCGCAGAAATGACAGGGCAAGAATCCATAGGGCCGTCGAATTTAATTCGTCCTGGACGAGGAATGAAAGTTCGCGCGGATTTTCTCCCCCCACGCCTGTCACAATGAATCCCGCCTTTAAGACGTTGGGTCCCTCTGGGTCTGGGGCGGCATAGCGTCATAACCCACCGGGGGCCCAGATCTCGACCTTTCGCAGAGCCATTGGAACAACGTACGTGTTGAGATGTGGAAGGTCCGTCGCTATTGAACCTTGTTGTAGTGTGTATGCGACGCCAAAGCATGAACAACATCAGAGGCAGCAGAAAATCCAATAATCAAAAATTCTAAATATGAATAATCATGATCACCCCGCCATAATCTCTCTCACCGATCCCAGCTACTCCATCTAACCAGCTCCTGTGCTTATATATAGCTGTCTGCTGTAGACAGTTCGCTTTTATTTTCTTTTTTTTTTTCTTTTCTTCTTCTTCCTCTTCCTCTTCCTACTACCTATTACCTCTTCCTTTTTCGATTCCCCCCCCGTTTATTTCTACCCTTCTGTAGAACACCCCACCATCATGGCTGCCAACCCCGTCCAAAATGGTCTCTTCGTCCACGAGAACACTACTCCCCCTGAGCACCCTAGCTTGTTGAGTATGTTCTCTCTGAAGGGCAAGACCGCCATCGTTACCGGTGCTGGCGCCGGTATCGGTCTAGCTGTCGCCAACGGTCTTGCGGAAGCTGGTGCCAACGTTGCCCTGTGGTGGAACACCAACGATAAGTGCCCTGAACGTGCCGCGGAGATCGCCTCCAAATACGGCGTTCAGAGTAAGTTCCTGTTCACCTATCGCATCTCTCAATCGTCCTGTGACTCTATCATGGCCCGAGACTTTACTAAGTGTATCCAGCCAAGGCTTACCAGGTCAACATCACCGACGCCGAGGCCGTGCAGAAGGCCGTTGACCAGACCGTGAAGGACTTCAACGGCCGTCTAGACGTCTTCATTGCCAACGCCGGTATTCCCTGGACACAGGGTCCTATGGTTGACGGCCCTCTTTCGCACTACACCGACGTTGTCAGCATTGACCTCGACGGCACCTTCTACTGTGCCAAGGCTGCTGCCGCCCACTGGAGGAGACAGAAGGAGGAGGGAACCGACCTCAACGGCAACAAGTTGACCAACTTCACCTATGGTAGCTTCGTGGCTACCGCTTCCATGAGCGGTCACATTGTCAACTTCCCTCAGATGCAAGCTGCCTACAACGCTGCCAAGTCAGCTGTCATCCATCTCTGTGAGTACCCTCTGGGTTTGATCTGTCGAGGAGTCTGCCAGGCTAACATCACCAGGCAAATCTCTTTCGGTCGAGTGGGTTAAGTACGCCCGTGCCAACACCGTCTCCCCCGGCTACATCGCGACCGAAATCTCCAACTTCGTGCCCCAGGAGACCAAGAACATCTGGAAGGACAAGATCCCCATGGGCCGTGAGGGCCGCCCTGAGGAATTGAAGGGTGCCTACCTCTATCTGGCCTCAGATGCCTCAAGCTACACCACCGGAGCTGACCTGGTTGTCGACGGTGGCTACTGCGCTCCATAAATGATATCCCTTCTTAATTTATTATCTCTAGCGAGTCTCTTACATATTGGGTCTACTATACATAACGGCTTCAAACGATAAACAATAGACGAATGAACGATCTTTGGATGTCCAAAATTTGTTGTGTAAAGCTCAGAAAAGTAAATTCAAAATTTGAAACCCTGGTGGCGTTTTCGTTAGGGTTCCTGCACCACGATCAGGCCTTAAAATCACTGCCGTGGACGGTGACACGAAGCCTTGCAGATGTGGCTTGCGGCATCTCATCTCTTGGCCCAAGAACACTGGCGCGTGACTCTAGCAAAAATGTCCGCCACTTACCAGGTTCGGGCGTAGTGCAGGCATCTTGCCTTTCTATCTGTCTTATCAGCCGTAATCCAAACCCTACCTCGTTCACGGGCAACCCCTCTTTCATTCGTACGCCATCTCTCGGGACAAAAATGTCATATTGCAGATATAGTGCCTCTGCCACATAAGTTATTAGTAAGAGCAATCTATTATTTATCTCAATGTCCTCCTCCTACCTTGTTGACTGTACCTGGTAGTAATCATGATCCTTTGTTATCAAGCACAGCCGCCGTGCCCTAATATATAATGCCCAACCCGGGATTGTATTCTTACTACCACATTACCCCACGATACTCAAGATAAGGAGATAACCATCGCCGATATTAAGCTTGAACAGGGAATATAATAACTAGTATATTATCTTAAATAAAATAGACCAACACTCCGAAGTAAAACCACAGACTTAGTCATTGGTGAGCAGCATCAACCAAACCAACGGACCAAACGTGGCGAGTAAAACATATATCTCCAGCCACTTTAAAAAAAAAAAGAAAAAAAAGAAAAAAATCCAACGAGAATATTATGCGATATCTCAGAAGAGATTCCCCGAGACATGTCTCCATCTCGTTCCACGATGTTAGTTCTCAACCGCTTCCTCGTTAACAGTGCACCTCTGGTCCATAGTCAGAATCGCCTCCATTAAGAGCATCAGACACAGGGTGTCTGTGTTTGCCCCTAGCTGAGACATATAATATACCTTAGATCTGATGGAGCTTTGAGTGTTGGAAGCTAGGTGTGCTAGTCTTGAGCTGAAAGGGGATCATTTTAGTCAATATGTCAACGATACGCTCCTATGTATATTGAGTGATATATTGTATCGCAATCGGGAGGGGTTACCCAAGTACCATGTTATCAGACTGGCTCGTGCACAGCTGGACTATAAGAGAAAAGCATCCACATTATCAGCCATTTCTCCCAACCCGAATGCGTATTACATAGCATATTTATGTTGATGTAAGATGATGACTGTATCTTCGGACAATCAAGTAATTGTAGACCTATGAGGACGTGCTTTAACCTATACTAGGGGTGCTAATCATAGATAGAAAGACGCATTCCTTTAGATACTATGGTTTCCCTAATTATACCCCATTAGGAGTGGTATATAGGTTGGGGCAATATTTCAGTAGGGACAATAAAGATAAGGTGAATATCGAGCTGGGGATTCACAAAAATGGAGCATATCCCACCGGTTTACTGTATCAACGTGGTAAGCAACTTAGAGTGAATTAGACCCTGAAACAACTTATAGTGCATACATTATATTTCTCCAACTTTTTAAAACTTACATACTCAACCAGGATATCTAACAGATTTACTTACCGGCCAAGCAGATAACTACGTACTAAGAGTTAACTGACATTCCTCTAGCCGAATAATCCAATTGAGACCCGTTGTATTACCACCAAACTAAAACCACCATTGCCCCCATATACATCCTCCCCGCAAGTAGTCAGCAAAGCTTCAGTAAGACATTTGCACAGATACAAGCTACACACCCTCCTTTTAAACCTCTCCAACCCCCACGCACCTAAAATGCACCATGTGGTTGAGGGAGGTATACCGAGACTGTGGGCCGGGGTTGGGGGGAATGCCGGTTAGGGCTATTTAGGGAGTGAGGGATAGGTGGATTATTTATCTCGACTAAACGATGACCATTGCTTCGTTAATAGGCGTTTAAGGGTTCCAATCTGCTGATGACGAGATGGGAAATTTGATATGCCCGTATCTTTAGTAAGGTGACGGATATTGTATGTATATACACCCAGGCTGGGGATAAAACCAGACTACCAACGAAGGTAGAGATGGGCGTATACCTGCCAATTGGACTCAATGCCCATGGCCCGGGCCACCAAGGGCTACTAGGATTTGTATAATATACGAGATGCTGATATCATGTAAGCTGACCCTCCTCGTCTAATACTAATGAGGTTCGGATCTATGTTTTCAGGAATAGTGTCACTTGAGTATTCTCGTTATTGTAAGATTGTTACTGGGGCTTGGCTTGGTACTCTATCATCTGAAGATTAATGGGTTACATCCAGTTAAGTACCCATAGAATGGATGGGTGGATGGGAGAGATAGTCGGTCCCTATTTTTAGAATTACAAGTGAGTGTATGCTTGATTCAATCCAGAAGTACTGGGTAGTGTGATAATTCTTCAGTCACCTGGGAATGGTCTATCATGTTTATAAACTCCCTCTTCACAATCCCTAGATATTCATCCGAATATCGAAGCCATATCATATTATTCCATAAATACAAAAGCAACGTAACTTTACCGACCGATAAACTCCTCAATCAACAACTCAACCGCAAAAGACCCAGTTAGAAGAAAAATAAAGAAAAGAGGTACTAAACATGCAACTCCACAAACAACCCCACCATACAATCAACCGCACGATCCCAAGACGCCTCTAAGCCGACCCCCCTCTCAATCCGCGTCGTCAACTCCACTTCCCACGGCGGTGTCGGTGGCTCTAGGACCTGTGGGTAGATTGCCCCTGTTTCCCGATCGAAGTACCTCCCCAGCGGGGTTCTGGGGTTCGATGCGGGGAAGTTCGGATTGTCGGTTGATATTGATGATAGGTAGGAGGGGGTGGTGGAGTAGCTGATGTCGCTTGGGGATCGTGGCGTGGGCCTGTGCGTTTGGTTGGTCTCCTTGCTTTCTTTTATTCTATTCTTTCTGGGATTCCTTTGGGGCTTTGGATTTAGCTTATTTGGGGCGGGAGGGGCGTACCATTGATCTTCGAGATCTTTGAGCTCGGACTCGACCTCGGTGTCGTCGGTTTGAATATGTAGTTCGACATAGTGGTTTCTGAGATCGATAAGTTGAGCACAGCGGATTAGACCATAGATGATCGATTCTCGATTGCGGAAGACGAGGAATATGGCTGTGAAGGTGAGACAGGTTGCTGGGTAGAGGATGACCATGGGTTCGGCCATGAGGCTGTGGATGTCTTTGTTGATTCTAATATTGGTGCGTTTTTTTATCTCTGGCAAATGATTCCAATATTATGGTATTATAGGTCTTTATTTTGTATGAGATTGGAAGAGTTGAGTACATCCGCTTCTTGGTGGACGAGGGCGTATGTACTTCCATACAGAGGGAGTATAGCATTCAGAGAATTACTATTGAGAGAAAGTTAGATCTCCTGGCTGAGGATACCGGTCCATTATGCGATAATTCCATTCAGTTTGGTCATTGAGGTATTCCTTCTATGGTCTATTGTATGCACTGGTGTTTCAGGCTATCGGATGCAATGTAATGTAATGCATGTCATGATCTCCGAGATTCAATCTATGTAGATCTGGAACACAAAGCCCCCTATTGACGATCAACAACGCAGACAATACAGAAATAATTCAACAATAGCATAGTAACAATAACGCTAAACTCAGTATGTTTGAGACTCTCACAAGAGCTGAAAGAAATACAATCGCTTATCCGGTTTCACCCCAACCCAGTGATAGGGTCACGGGCATCGAGGAACAAAGTCAGGTGGGGGGCCATTTGATGTAGATCTCGAATTCTTGACAGACGTCATAGGCGTTGTCGGTCTGGCATAGATCATGAGCAAGAACAGTTATAGAGAGGTGTAATCGCTGTGTTTTATATATTTTATTTTCTATTTATTTTTTCCCCTACCTAATGTGTTTTGTAGAAAGATAGGAGATGACGATCCCATATCGCAATAGACGTTCAACACCGCGTACACGCATGCAGCGTCAGCCGACCAGCGACCGACATAAGAACAGAAGATCAAGAGTCAAGACAGACACTCCCAATATGAGGCTCCTAGAACAAATAACAATGGTATGTATCTTGTCTTTGAAAAGAGACAAATCGAGATGTCACTAACACAAGCAGAATATCGCAATACAAGAAGCCCTAAAATGCACTACCTGCAAATTCGATCCACCGAACCCAACCTCCGGTGGAGACCATGGCTCGGAGATAGATGACCTAGACGAAGACGTTTCATTTGCTACTGAAAGACGCGCCTGGCGTGAGGAATCTCCTCTAGGGACAGTAGTCGCAGCCGGCATGGAGGAAGAATCCCTCCTCACAGCACCCACACCAGCCTTTACGTCCGGATACGAGCGATTAATGACGCCCTCTCAGATTGAGCTCTACGAGGAACGCATAGATCGATTCATCTCCCAAGATCCTAACAGGGATAAGGAGCTCGCTCGGTATCATGTTGACTATCACATCCACGTGCATTACATGTCTCACCGGGGAATGTTGAGTCTTTGCCGCGACAGCGATGACCGGGATGAACTGAAGAAATGGATGTGGGGGTTGAGGAAGTACGAAGAGATCGAGCGCTTGGCAGGGAATTCGGAGTTGCAAATACCGGACTTCAGCATACCGGAGAAAGTACCGTGGCCTGAGGACTGCGAGTTGATGGAACACGAAGAGAGTTTGTGGAGAAAGTGGGAACCGAGTCGACAGAGGCAGGTGCAGAGATCGAAGTTCAAGTGGAGGAAGATCATGAAGGAACGTGAAAAGCAGAGACAGTTCCAGTTCGTACAGCTACGTCTGGCGCACCAGAAATGCAAGGTGCAAAAGGTGAACATCTACTGGGGGCGGGGAATACTGCGAGAGGTGACACTGGACTCGCCGTGGTGAAATGATCAGGGGATGAATGTACTCTACCGTAGAAGGCTCAAGACAGGACATGTTAGCTTGACTGGAGTATACCAACTAGAAAGTCGATCAGCATCAGCACCGCTGTCAAGGAGGGACCCTTGGTACGTGATATTGAAGAGACATAGAGAAGAACAAGTGTAAAATCAGATAGAAAGGTATCCGGAATCCGAGAACGCCAACTATTTCCTCACACTCAACAAGGAATACGGATATCAAATGAGGACATCAACAAACAAACATTACAGGGGAGAAGAAGGAAAGAAAACGAAAGAAAATCCGAAAGGAAGTTAAACAAACGACTGATCCGAGATGTTTCAATAGGACGTGTTCTCAACGTCATATGTACCATCACCAATAGTAAAATCTGGTGGATCGCGAGCTTGAACCAACCGTAGCCTCGCCAGCCCGATAGTAGGCAGCGCATTTCTCAGTGCCCGCTGAGCAATTAACTGTGAGGCCATATGAAATTGATTGCTTCCCATGTCTATACCTTCTCGTCTGTCCCAGTCATTGGAACATCTTGGGAAGGCTCACGAATAGGCTGCTTCACATCAGGCGGAAACGACGCATTGTGCGACTCGGGATGTTTAGCTTCGTTCTGGGGCTTGCTGTCGGGCCGCTTCTTGCCCAACCGCTCGCACCAAAGTTCCGCACTGACGAGAGTATCATTCACTACTCCGCTCACCTGCGCCATCATGTCTAGGCCTTCCTGCGCTAGAACTAAGATGCGATGAGCGCTGATTGTGGCGTCAGAGGATGCTGCACTCGAATCGGGTGGAGGGTTGGACGTTGAAGCGACCTGGAACCGATGCGGTAGGGAAGTGAGGTGCCGGCGGACTAAGTTCCGGGCATTCTCCGGCAATGCACCTCCGGCATACTTGGAGACGACATCTACAACCTGCTTCAAGGTCGACAGGACGTCCTCCCGGACGGCCTGGATACGCTGGGACAGCAAGGAGGTATCCTGGCTAGTATCATTATTCTTCTTGGCATTGTCCCATTCCGTCAGGGCGCCCTGCAAGGCCACGATGGCTTTGCCCAGCCGTCCGTTTGCCCATCGCAACCAGGTCAAACAATACTGCAAGCTGCGGAGGGACTCCTCGCTCATGGCAACACCCAATCCCGAGGTGGAAATCACCAATCGACTTTGCCACGTGGGGTTCGGTCGTGAAGAACTTTGCCGACCAACCTCCTCGTAGCTGGGGGACGTCTGGTCGTCATATGGCGGGAGGGGTTCGCCCATGGACAGGTCGGAAGAGCTACGCCCGCGACGAGACGATGTGGTTTCATCAGAGCCTTTTTCCAAGTCTACTTCTGTTGGATGTTTGTCCCCGCTCACTTTGCGACGCTTAGACCGTTTGGGATCATTTGAGTTGGATCCACGACGCTGCAGCGCCCATCGAAGGCCGCTCTCGACTCCGGTTTTGCGGCCAACCGAGCCAACGGTATTGGCGACAGGGGAGCCAATGTTGCGTTCGAGGAACTCGGCGCCCGATTTGAAACGGGGTGAGTATGATTTTGAGCTGGCGTACGCCGAGACGGATCCGTTAATCGCAGAGGATATCAGAGGATGGGTCGAGGTGAGCAATGATAGGAGGGGTTCGGGTTGCGATTTGGAATCAGAACTGGAGGTTTGTTGCGACACGTTTCGAGGAGGTTGACCGTATTCTGGGATGACTCTCAATTAGCATACTTAAGCAATCTTAGGAGGCATGGCTCCCAGATGAAACGAAGGAGGACCAAAACGGCATACCCGTACGGAGCCCCTCCAGGGCCTGCGCCGCCTCGATATCATCCATGGAGAGAACACTAGTAGCTCGACGTGAACGATCCTCCGCTACTGTGGTGTTATCAACATCCATCATGGAGGTAGGGACATTCTTTGTCAAAGGATAACCGGATGGAGGAGCGGGGAGGGTCGAAGTAGTCTGAAGTTTGCCGCTGTTGGCCGTGTTGGCCGTGTTTCGGAGTGAGGAGACGGACGAATCGTTCGGCGTTGAAATGGCGCCTGAACGATTGTCCATGGAGGCCTAAGACCGACTAGTAAGGATTGAGATGATTTAGACGACCAATTTGGGGGCGTCAGCGGTTTAGCTCTATTGAATTTGGAGAAAGGACGATCTCTTGGGAAGCGCGCACTAGACTAAGAAAAGACTAAAAGAGAGAGGTTGAGAAGGGAAATTGTTCGAGTCTGTGACGGAAGTCAGGCTCTCTCATGTGCTCTTCACGTGAAAAAATACCAACAAAAAAAAAAAAAAAAAAAAAAAAAAAAAAAAAAAAAAAAAAAAAAAAAAAAAAAAAAAAATAAGAAAAATAAAAATAAAAAGAGGGACCGACCCAGTTGACCGGCAAAATACACGGCAAATGAAGGCCAAGTCCCAAATACTACTATCTATCTTCAAAGAACAATAAGAGACCAATTTATAATTAGAACTTTTGGTCAGCACGGTGGATGGTTACGATCTTGCAGTTCTCGTGTTCAACATATCATTAGTACTCTGTACTAGAGAGTGATATTGAACGCCCCCCGCCCCTCCCAATTACCACCCATGAATAATTACTATATTCCACCGGAACGCTTAGAGCATCAAAACCCCCATGCGACCTGTAAGGTAGAAAAATATACTATGTAACCGTGAGATGCATGAAGTAATCAACCTTCTCCTCCAACACGACCAGACATTCCAAGCGAATGCAACTTACCCCATTCTATCACATGCCAAAACAGCTCGGAAGTGGAAGAATCTCAACCACCAACTAAACGAACACACTAATGGAACCTTCTGCCCAGTGCCGGATGGGGACGTTGCCGTCGTGGAGGGCACTGGAATTGGTGTTCCAGTAATGCCAGTTCTTACTAAGGTTATACCCAACATCTGACATTCAACATGATTCATGATTTGCTTCCGCTTTCCCAGCCTGGGGCAAAATCGCGACATGTGATTCCCAATTGAAAGTAAAGAACGACATTTAGCCGCTTGACCGCCTTCCCTATGCAGTTTCAGACACGTCAGGTTTCGTCAAAGGGTCTCCACTCCCTCGAACCAAAGTCAAAGTCCCAACAACTGGGAGCGAATTGACCGCCTTCCTGACTCGCTGTGATACGTCAATCCAATGAGCCCGGCATCTAATTTCCCGATTAGGAAGACCCCAGGAGAATGCAAGGGTGCACAGTCGATGACCCTGGTGATCTTTGATCTACTCCTTCAGTTAGCGAGCTAGATATTCATTACTAGTAGGGCATATCTTGAAGGAGCTCTTCATGACGATACCCCCGAATGTACCCTGGTTTCTACAGTGCTACGAAAAACAGTATTAGGGACTATTGTACTGGCTACTACAAAATACTAAATAACCAACTGCAGAAATATCCATGTTTGCTAAACCGAAGGCCTGTCCGCAGATCCCCCCAGCCGCTGGCCACTGTGTGTACAGTGTACAGGGACGTAAACTTCTAGAAAAGAAGTACCGACGACCCACGTCCACTAGTCGAGTGGCGATCGCATCTTGTGGAGGCCCCGTCCCACACTGGACACTGCAATACCGACGATAGATCGCCCATCATGGATGTTGTTGCGACGCGTGACTGACCCGTAAATACAGGTGTTGAGCTGCTTCGGTTTGTCTATTAAGCGAAGTGTGTCTTGATCTCCCCGAAGCTTTAATAGTGTTGTTAGTGAGCTCGGTGCTCCCATGGTTCAAGTAACCCTAAGTGCTGAGCTGCAACTCGCCATAAAACCGGTGGGGAAGGTTAGCTGCGGAACAAGGTATTGTGATTTTTACCATGTAAGAGTACATCAGTGAGGGGGCAACGAGAGAGTAAATTGTACATTGAGGAGGATTGCGTCGGAGTCGTTCATTGAAAGGCCGGCGTCTCGGGTATCGTTGACTCTACTTTGCCCAATGGGTGAGGGTTCTCGAGACTTTATGGGAAATGATAGATTCTGGTTGTTTTCATGTGTGGATATGTATGTATAGCACTAGAAATAATATCCAATTGGGAGTCCACAAAAAGATAAGAAGCGCCGAAAGAAACCAACAGACCTATGTCTCACTCCACGAACAGATCATCATCGCAGTCGTAATACCCCTCAGAAAGTTGTGTTGCCTGAAGCATCGCTATCGCATCTGCGCCTTCATATTCATCGCCACCATCACTGTCTTCATCTTCAACCATGTCTCCGGCTGTCAGCCTTGCGACCACTTTCTGATTCACCCGGTAACAAGCTAGAATTTCATTCACCACTGATCGTGACGGTACACTACTGGCTTTTAACTCGCAAATTGTCTCTCCAAAGGCATGGAGGACAAAGCTCGACTCGGGATGCTTCTTGTACGAGTACGAAGCGAGCAATTGGAGCCACGCAGCCTCACTATATCGCCAAACAAGGATCATGGGATGGTCGCCCTCGGGTGGTGGAACGGCTTTGGCCTGATCAGCGATCTCTAACGAGACATCTGAGAATGAATTTTCGCCGGTGACCGAGCGAATCCATCTGTGAAAGAGATCATCGATTTCCTGGGCGACATTTGTCAAAATCACATGAAGTTGTCCACCTTCACGTCGGTCTTTCTCGGTCTGCTTTTGTGCCTCGTCCCACGGCCTGGTAAGATCTCTATCGTGTTCGTACGCGGTCCCCGCTTTAGATAATGGCTCCTCTAGTAGCCTTAGAACACTGTCCTTCTCTTTCTGAGCAACTTCGAATCGCAGATAATCTATTATATTGGTGAGTTTGGGTCTTCGGCTTGGGTTCTTGTACGCAGGCACATTCCGTGCCCTAGGGCTAACCCTTTTGCGATATGCTCGCCACGCGTCTTCTGATAAGCGGACCCCTCCTTTACGACCGTCCACCAAGTGACTGAGGAGACAGGCGACCTCTTTAGCATTCGGTGAGTCGATCGATTCATCGTAGGATATCTTTTCGTGCTCCACAGTACACCTTCCCAGATTAGACATGGTTAGGTTGAATGTAAAGGCG